AGGGGCGGGACAGCCCCGGCCACGGCTGGTCTGGTCATAGGGGCCCCAGCGGCCATAGCCGCCTGTTGCCGTTGTGCGGCGGCTATGCATTGTCGCTGCAGACTTTGAACAAACTCCGTCAACGGGGCCATTACCGTAACTAGTTGGGCCGCGACCTCTTTCATGGAAGCTTCTTCCTCGCCCCGACCTCCTTGAGCGACGGGAGGACTCGCCGGCGTCCGAATTCGAAATTGCGCGGGCAACGCCCCCGCACTACGGGAAAGCTTGGGGAAACGTGTCGCTCCCTCGTAACCCAGGACCAGTCGTCGCCAAGAACACGAGTCCCCCTGGCAACACCAGCGACAATCAAACTGCGGCCGCCACGAGGCGTGAGCGGCCGACCAGGGTAGCACAGTCAAACCCGTATAAGGTAATATTAGAGTCGGGGAATCAAAACGCTCAATCAAGACAAACCCGTTCCCCCTTATATCACAAGCCCGAGGCGGGTCTCGCCAGCACACTTGCTCCATTCGCCTCAGCGCTCGCCGTGCATCCACATGGCAGTAGACGCTGTCGCCATCTGTGATGGGGAAGGTCGGTAGCGAGATGAGACGATCAGAGGTAGGCGATGAACACGGGCAAAATCCCGCGCTCCCGGTCATCCGAACCAACATCGACTCCATACAACACCCGATGCAACCTTCTCTCTCAGGGTTAGTGCGTCGGAGGAAGATGGCGAAGTCGAAGCTCTCTTTTTCTTGCGGGGGCGTCGACCGTGCGCGCGGACGCAGGCAGTTGACGTCACCGGTACGGGGACGAGAAGCTAAAAAAGGAAGGAGAGAGAGAGAGAGAGAGAGAGAGAGAGAGAGAGAGAGAGAGAGAGAGAGAGAGAGAGAAAGAGAGAGAGAGAGAGAGAGAGAGAGAGAGAGAGAGAGAGAGAGAGAGAGCTTACACTGAGAACGCACGCGCGCGCGCGCAGGGCCGTGGAAGGGAGGGGAACAACGGGATTAACACACTCGTACTCCTAGGCAGACGGTTCCCCAGTTCAGTTTCCCCGTCCCCACCCGGACAAGTACATATACGCATGCATGCAAACAATCAACAACCCTTGACATGACATCTAATCATCCATAGATCTTCAACATCACTCATGCACACAACCAGCTCCCATCACTCGGGACTTCACACACACGACATGCATAGACAAAGCAGCATTGGAGATAAAAGCGAGTCCTTCTTGTACACAAAAATTTCAATTAACTGCCGCCCCTAGGCGCAGCCTTCAAACCACCCAAGACCACCGACCACCATAGCCACAAGGCCCTGCCGTGGCCGGCGTCCAATCCCCACCACTGCTCAGTCCCTTCGACTGCTTCGCCCCGAGACTACCGCAGGTCCACCCCACGTCGTCACTCCGCCCGTCCTTGGGCTCGTCGAGACTGTTCGGCGCCGCGGACTCTCGCGCATGGCTCGCGCAGTATTGCAGCCGAGATCAAAGAGGAAGAGAGGAGAGGGTTGCGCGAATTTATAGCGCGGGAGGCGACGGGTTGTTAGCGCGAGGTGCGGGCAGCGCAGGTTGTAGATGAGCAGGACAGGAGGAAGGTGGGGAGTTAGAGGGTTCGACCCGAAGAATGGCATGATCCTACGTGATTGGGGTGTCCGTTCAAGTGGCGCGCGGTTTCCACTCTCCACATTGATCCGAGCATCCCAACTACGCGGCCAATCACTTCGCGGGGATAGGATCGAGCTGGGCGGAGGGGAAGACGAAGAGTCCGGCATGGGGAAAATGTGCGCAGCAAGAAGGGAAGATGGCGCGGGGATGCGAAGCAAGAAACGAGGATGTGAAACGCGCGAAGAGATCGGAGCTTGGGCGTGCGCGCGCAAAAATTCAAAAAGTCCCAACCGCCCCCGTTTTTTGGTTTTTATACCGCGGCCGCTATTCACCCGCACGGAAGTTATTAACCAAAGAAAATGAAAAAGCCGTTTCAAAAATAAAACAGAAGCAGAAAGAAAAACCCTTTTTTGTCCGTGTCCGTACTTCGGGGCTTCCGTGGGATTTTTCCTCAGGGATACGGGAAGCCACGTGGTACGGATCTGAACTATCACATGTTGCTGGGGACCCTACCTGTAAATATTACGCAAATTTCAGAAGGATGTGGGCCATCATGTGACCCATGTACCTGGGTACGTGGTCCAAGCCTGCAAGGAAATAATTTGCTCTGTTATTTGGGACAACAGGAGCATAGCCCGCTTTCAGGGGAAAGGTACTGCAGACGTGGAAGTCAAAGCAATGATCCAGTCTAGATTTAAATAGGGGTAAGCTCGGTTGTGACACAAACGAGTTTGAAAAGGGCAACAAACTTGCATGCCAAGTATGGAAAGGGCAACAAAATCACACGTGGGCCACAACCATTTTTACCGATATCGCCCTTTTCAAACTCCGCACTAGATGTTGTTGCCCACACATGTTTTTTTTGCCCTTCGGAACTGAAAGTGTGACACTGCCGGACTCATTCCATTAAATTAAAATATTATATAAAAGCAGATTGGATTATGAGAAGCAATAGTAGTTCCGCTACAGGGAACTTCAAGGGGCTTTATAGGTGGGTTTTTAGAACATGGGGCATAGGCAGATCTTCTGCTTGGTGACTACAAATTCAGAAGGCAAATTGGAATTTTGCCCTTGGTTGAAGTAGTTGTATATGAAATGCCAGGACACTCGATTATAATCCTTGCCACAAGAGGCCGACAGTTTGTTTGGTTTGGGTTGTATTGTTCGAGGTCAGCGGTTGCCCAACCCGTTGCATTTAGGCCTGCATATAGACACAGCTAGTAGGCAAGGGAACAGTAACTAAGTAGAATAGAGTAGCGGCAAGCGGAGGGCTCGATTGATTCTACTGGCAGTAATGGTGGTAAGGATAGCCATCAGGAAGTGCTGGGCTAAACCAAAGTTGGGTAATGGTCCCAGCGTGCTGGTCACCTCCGGGTTGTTTGTGAGGATACCTGGAGGTTGTTTGTGAGGTACTGCACATAATATCCGGCCTTCGGGCACATACATCTCGCTATACAGTTACACAGAGCACACATAGCCTTCGGGCAGACACAAAAAACATGGCCCTATGGGCTCATACAAACATACATAGCCTCTGGGCACACACACATACACATAACTACGATACTGGGCTTGGGGGGGTCTATCAGGTACATGACGGGGTCTACTCACGACGAAGCTTCTTTCCACGGAATGAGTCGTTCGTTCTTTGGGCACTTCTTTGGTGGCTGGAGGTGAGTCAGTTTGTCCGCGTTCTTGTGCTGCTTGGTCACGCGGTGGCGGATGTCAAAATCGTAGTCTTGCAACCTTACTGCCCACCTTCCCAAGGTTCCCGTATAATCCGTGTTGTTCTGTAAGGACAACAACGGCTGATGATCCGCCACGAGAACGAACTTCAGGCCGTGGAGATACGGTCGAAAGTGCTGGATTCCCCACACCACCGCCAAACATTCATCTTTGCAAGCTTCGTAATTCGCTTGTGTCTGGCTCAGTGTCTTCGACGTGTATTTGATAAAGTGCTCCTTTCCGTCTGTTCCCTGCCAAGTCAGCATCGCCGATATAGTCTGCGGCTTCCAATCGGTGTGCAGAGCAAACGGTTTCGTTGGATCTGGGCACGGCAGGATCGGCGCAGTAGTCAGGGCCTTTTTGAGCGCCCGAAAAGCCGCCTCGCACTCCGGCGTCCAAATCAGTTGTTTTTCTTTCTTTAGTAAGTTGGCCAAAGGCTTGGCGACGCGAGCAAACCCTTGGATGAACAATTGATAATATGAGGAAAGGCCAAGGAAGGCTCGAACTTGAGTGAGAGTGACAGGCACCGGTGCTTCTTGCACTGCTGCCACTTTCCTTGGACACGGTTTCAAGCCATCCACCGTGATGATGTACCCCAAGAAGGAGATTTCCGAGAGGAAAAACTTGCTTTTCTCCAAGGCTACTTTGAACCCCACGTCTTTCAATGCATGCAAGACCCACTCGACATGTTCCACATGGTACTCGTATGTTTTGGAAAAAAACAAGATATCATCCATATACACAATCACACAAAAATTTACCAGTGGTTGGTTCAGGTGGGTTTTGTTAACGAATCATGCGAAAGTCATATTCATGGCTCGATGGAACGCCGTGGGTGCGTTGCATATTCCCATAGGACATATGACCCACCGCGACGTGCCCTCGAACAAGACAAAGGCCGTTTTGGGTCTGTCTTCTGGTCGTACTGCAACATGGTGGAAACCGTGTCGGATATCGAATTTCGAGAAAACTCACGCAGAGGCGATGACATCCAGAAGGGAGTCGATATGGAGTAACGGATAAACGTCCTTGGTGGTTATTACGTTTAATTTTCGGTAGTCAATGCAAACGCGGACTGTCCCATTTAGTTTCGTCACGAGGACCACTGGGAACGCCCAGGGACCCAGGGAAGGTTCCATCCACCCGAGACGCTCAAACTCCCATACTCTTTTCAGGGCTAGTTGTTGCTCTTTTAATGAGTATCGGTACGGTCGACAGTGTATTGGGGCGTGGTCCCCGGTATCAATCGCGTGCCTTATTAGGTACATCAGTCATATATCATGGTCTTGAATACTGACCGCTTCGGGGTAAGCCTGTATCACCGCAAGAAGGAGTCGTCGATATTCATTGGGTACATGAGCAGGAATATGAATATCAATGTTCCTTCTAGGAAGGGAGAGTGTTGATGTGACAGTTGGGACCCGAGCGGTTTCCTCAGGGGAAGCTCCAAACAGGGAGTTGTCCGTTCTTACCGAGTGTACAATAGCTACGAGTTGACTATCTGCCGGAGTGACCAGTTCGTTTTCCGTTTCAATTTCTCCATCGATTTCAGCTTCAACTGAGGGTTCCACTGAAAAGGACTGGAGCTGTGTCATCGCCCGTACGTCGTACGGGGGGTCTCCGTACGGGCTGTACGAACGGACGTACATACGCGTGTAAGGCCGTACGGACGCTCCCCGTACGAGCGTGCTACGGGCCTGTGGGGGGGTGCTCGGGGGGGGGTTAAGGGGTTGGGGTGTTGGGACAGGTCAGTGGGTGCAGTGCAGTGCTGTTGAAAAAATTAAAAAAAAAAAAAAATTGGGTGAAAAAATGAGAAAAAAAAAAAGACTGGCCGTGTCCCCGCGGGCCTTAGCCTGGCACCCACTGCCGCGGCCCAGGGCAGTTTCGGAGGTCCTCGCAACAGTGCACGTGGACGTTGTTGTCGCCCACGCAACAGTGCTCGTGGACGTTGTTGACGGCATGACACACACACACACACACACACACACACACACACAGAGAGAGAGAGAGAGAGAGAGAGAGAGAGAGA